GTAAGAATTAGTGAAGGGAGAAGAATCTGCTTTTTCTCCTTTTATGAAGTGAAAATTTGACAGTTTTATACATCACTCTGTTGAGCCACTTATTACTCAAGAATGCTATGACGGAAAAATGTACAGTTTCTGAAACCATACATTTTCCACATTGTGGTACACTGTGAAATGGGTAACAACTGCATTCCTACAAATACCCATCAAACCTTCACCTTTAAACGTCTTTCTCTGGTTGTTTTAACTGTATATATCTCCATTTGGTTACATACAGTCCCCTCCAAAGGTATTGGAACAGAAAGGCAAATTCCCATGTTTTTGTTGTTCACTGAAGACATTTGAGTTTAAAATCAAAAGATGAGTGCGAGACAACAGTTAAGATGTATTAAACATTTCAGGACAAACTACCCTTTGTTTGAATCCACCAATTTTTCAAGTGAGCAAAACTTTTGGAACGTGTGACGGATAAATGTTGCTGTTAAGGTGTTCAAACATTTAACAGCTCTGCATGACTAGTCTACTTTTTGGCCTGGGTATTCACCAATAAAGAGTGCATAAACTAACAGATGGGTGTCTATGGGAGAAATTCAAGCAATTTTGAAGCTAGGAGAAGAACCATTGGACAACCATTAAGCATAGCAAGCACAACAATTTGGAATTTCTTGAAAAAGGAAGAAACTTGTGGGGTACTGAGCAACAGTCGTCAAACAGGTTGACCACGGAAAAAGACAGAAGTTGACAGAAATATTACGAGAGCTGCGAATAAAACCCTCAAAACAGGATGTAACATCATCAATGGCCTCCACAGTGCAGGGGGGAAGTATTACTATCCACTTCTCGAAGGAGACTCTACCAAGATAAGATGCAAACCGTACAGAGATGAGCAGCAAAAGGTCTGCAACACAGTCTTATGGACTGATGAGACCAAGATTAATATACCAAAGTGATGCAAAGGCCAAAGTGTGCAGAAAGACAGGAACTGCTTATGATCTGAAGTATAGAACTTTAATCTGAGATGCATGGAGGAGGTAATGTCATAGCTTGGGCGTGCATGGCCGTTATTGGAACAGGCTCATTAATATTTATTATTGATGTAACTAATGATGGTACCAGTAGAATGATATTGAAAGTGTACAGAAACATTTTGTCTGCCAATTTGCAGAGAAATGCATCCAAACTAATCAGGAGGAATTTACGCATACAGGAGGACAATGATCCAAAGCCCACTGCCAACAAAACAAAGGATGTAATCCGGGGGAAAAAGTGGAAGGCTGGAGACTGACCAAGTTAGTCATCTGACCATGGAGCATGCATTTCACCTCCTGAAGAGGAACCTGAAGTGAGAAACTCCCCGAAACAGACAAGAACTGAAAGAAGCTGTGGTAAAAGCCTGGAATAGCATCCCAAATGACGATGTTGATGGGTCACAGGCTTGAGGCAGTTATAGCAAGCAAAGGTTATGCCACCAAATGATTATTTTAAGATGATTTTTTCCTGTAATTTCGCTCACCTAAAAATGTTGTGGTGTCATAAAAACTGTGATAAATAAAATTAAAGACCAGGAAATAAAAGCTGACATTCTGAACTCTTGTCTCATACTCATCTTTTGATCTTAAACCCAAAGGTCTTCAGTAAACAACGAAAACAAGGGGAAGTTGCCTCGCTGTTCCAATACTTTTGAAGGGGACTGTATCGACTTATTTTAACTCTTAAACTGTGGCTTTTATAAAAACCCCTGTCACTCTAGCTCCTTTTTCTTATCTAACTTTCTGCTCTGTTGAAGTCCCCTCCTCCCTTCTCCTCCAGATTTCACTCAGTCTCTCTTTTTCCTCATTGCTGGACTTCACAACTGCCCCCCCCCCCATTTCTTTCTGCTGTAGAATAATTAGATTATATGAGGAATGTGTGAAAGCGGCTGTGTATTCAGCCCCAGAGCTTCAAGCTATCAAGGCCTTGACCTTCTGACTAAGTTTAAACCCTTTTACTGTACTTTATGAGGTACTTTGACCTTTGACCAGGGAGGTGTAGTGGTGTTGTGATTAGCACTGCTGTAAGTGTTTTACCTATTTGAATCCCTGGGAGACTGGGACCTTTCTGTCTGGTCGTTTGCATCTTCTCCCTGTGTCTACAGGAGTTCTCTCCGGGTACTCTAGCTTCCTCCAAAAACATGCATGTAAGGTTAATTGGACACTCCAAATTGTCCCTAGAAGTGAATGTAAGTTTGTGGCCCTGTAATGGACTGCTTACCTGTCCAGGTTGTACCCCGCCTCTCACACATTGTCTGCTGGGATAGGCTTAGTGTAGAATAGATAGATGTATCAAACCAATTTGAACGCCACATAAAAGGACAGAAATGGCATCTTCATTCATACAAGAATTACTGAGCTTCTTAATTACCGGGCTATGGAGACTAGGGTCTACTTTGCAACTTCATGTCACTTGAGATTTTCTGGCAACATAGATAGGTCAAATGTGAACTAGGGCTGTCAAAAGTATTGATACTAAAATGTTGTATCCGGATACGATACTCATTTTAAAAAGTATCGATAACACCGCCCACCCCCCCCCTTGTCTCTGATTTATTTATGTATTTATTTACGTTGTTTATGATCATTAACAAGATGTTAGCCTTGAACTGCTAGCTGCGGCCAATGGCTAATAATAATATGCTAAAATTAATCAAGTACATATCCAAGTCCGCCCACATCCAAGTCGGCCATTTTGATTACGTCACCAATAGGAAGAACCCAAGCAAGAAAATGGTATTGCCTAATGGCAATATAGACATTCATTTAAAAATAGTGAAATTAATCTTTCAAACACGGAATTAAACTCTATGCATAATATTATGTTAAAATAGTGGATGTTAAATAGGTTTGTAAAATAAGTCCAAACAAGTTTGACCAAAAAATATTTATTTCTCACTATTATGAAGGGTGGAGGGTTAGGGTTAGGGTCAGGGGAAGTGTCAGGGTTAGGGTTAGGATTAGGGTTAGGGTCATTAATACGGGCCACCAGTCACGATAACATCAGTAACAGGTCAGTTTGAAATGAAAGACACTAACCTATCAAAATTCAGTTAGATTTAGGTGTCTTTGTTTTTATCCTTGTGGTATCGAAAATGGTATCAAGTATCGAGTATTTTCCTGAGTATCGGTATCAAGTTGAAAATTTTAGTATCGTGACAACCCTAATGTGAACCGCAGTGTCTACAGGGTCGACTTCTAGTGTGAAGACCGAAGGTAACTGCTGCATTCAGTGCCATTAAGCAGTGGCCTAATGGTCATATTTGTTTATGTGTAAATATGTTGTGCATATGTTAATAAGTATCTGCTTCAGAACTTTTTCAGAAGTTATGTTTTAATGTATTGAAATGCATATTCATTTTTAATACCCCTACACCCCCTCTACTACTCTTTTTGTGCTTCCCTCTTTCTCCTGGCTGTCACCACTGACTTTGACTAGGGATTTTCCCCTAGAGACTTTATTGTCAGATTATTGTAACATTGTGTCCACTTTGTAAATTGCTAAATGCATAAACATAAACATACGCTCTGTGGGCGTAGTTTTACCACATTAGGGCAAGTGATTGTTTTACTGTCAACCTGGTTCACTTTGAGTTTCTACAAAAAAATCTCACGCCAGTAAAGGAATCTTGTTAAATAATGTATTAACTCTCCGTGGTTAAATAGGTCAATGACTGATTTTCAGTTGTTCAGTGCAGTGGTTCATATTGTGCACAACACACACATTGGAGTGCTGTTCTGCCAGTGGCCTTTTTTCTTTACAATCCTGTAGAAAAACTGAATAAAAATATTCAAAAAATAATAATAAAATATACTCAATGAAAGATTATATTGTTTCATCTCAAATAATTGATAATGTCTATTCATGTCATGTTTGATATCTTAAACAAAACCAAATTCCTGCACCAGTTTTTTCTATAGGACCTCTGAAAAAGTTATGTTCAAATGTGGAAGTGCATATTGACCTCAATAGGGAGGGAAAGGCAAGTTTATTTGTATATTACATTTTGTGTATAAGACAATTCAAAGAGCTTTACATAGAATTTAAAAGCAGAAAATTAAGAATAAATTCAAAAAATAAAACCATCAGTGATTGAATAGATTAAAAGTGAAGAGTGCAGATAAAATACTTTCAGTTCTCATTTGCACAGCTGAATAGGATGGTTTTCAGTTTAGATTGAAACATTGTTTTTCAGGAAGACTACTCTAGATTTTAGGTGCATTGATTGAAACACAGGCTCTCATTGTTTGGCCCTGACTCTGGGAACAATACCAGAGGTTCTTAGAGTCCAAGGTGGTTCATTTGGCTCTAACATGCCAGCGATGTACTTTGGCGCTTGGCCATGAAGAGACAGGCAGGGCTGTTTTAAAGTCTATTGTCTGAGCGACAGGAAGCCAGTACAATTAGCGGACCTAGTTTGCACGTCGTGTTGAAGTCCAGAATTGCACTTTGACCGACAGCATAGACATAATTCTGTTTTTGTTCTGCTAACCAATTCAACATTAAATTAGATACGTATTTTAAGGAAAAATGAATTAACTGGGGCGGCACGGTGGTGTGGTGGTTAGCACTGTTGCCTTCCAGCAAGAAGGTTCTGGGTTCAAATCCCGGGGGAACCAGGACCTTTCTGGATGGAGTTTGCATGTTCTCCCTGTGTCTGCGTGGGTACTCCGGCTTCCTCCCACAGTCCAAAAACCTGCATGTTAGGCTGATTGGAGATTGGGGAAATTGCCCTTAGGAGTGAATGTGAGTGTGAGTGGTTGTTTGTCCTTGTGTGTGGCCCTGTGATGGACTGGCGGACTGTCCAGGGTGTACCCTGCCTCTTGCCCGTTGACCACTGGGATAGGCTCCAGTTCCCCCCGCGACCCCATCAGGGAATAAGCGGTATTGATAATGGATGGATGGATGAATTAACTGTTTGCGTCTGTCTTGCAGCCATGGAGGAGCTGGTGTCTGAGCTCCGCCTGTTCTTGGACCTGCTGGATAGGGAATATCTCAGTGCTGGGGTCCGAGAGAAGAAGACGCACCTCTCCAACATTCTGCGCCGAGTCCTGTCAGACAAAGGTAAGGGCATATATTTTCTAACTTTTTAAAACAACTTCACTTCCCTCATAAGGCAACTGTGATTTCCCAATGGTGGTGTCAGTGCAGGATTTTGAGTATCAGATATAGTAAAAACTGTTTTTTTTTAAGACAGATTAAGATTTTTCCTTAACTCATTCGCTGCCAAAGACGTCTATAGACGTCAATTCAAATCCAAACGCTGACTGCCAAAGACGTCTATAGACGTCTTTTATGTTTTTCAACGCGAGTGGCTTGGGGGACGATCTGCTAAAGCTTGTCCGTAAATATCGGCTTCTAGACAGAGTATGTACTAACAAATTGACCCTCTAGGTAGCAGTGCCACTTTTGATGGGAGATGAGCATAGATTGTAAGCAAATAAAAAAAAACGCAATGGTTCGCTATGCGAAAAATGTCGCCGGTCAGACGCAACTCGAGGAAGAACGGAATAAGGTAGAAACAAATTTTTTTTCCTGATGAAAGAAGAGAGTCTACTCTTTCTTTTGGTGTGTTCGGTGTTTACATAGTCATAGCACAAACTATTCTGTGGCTCTTGAAAAATCAGTCAAAATGCTCAAAAAACTCTGGCAGTTTGGGACTCTTTTTTCTGAAAATGGCTGCCAGTCAATGAGTTTATCTTCCCACAATGGGCAAATTCACTGAAATTATTAAATGATCCGAACTTTTGATTTTGTAAAGCTCCTATTTAGTTATGTATGCATTCTGACATTCTTCCTCCAGAGCCGTCTTTCAAGCCAGAGATCCAGAGTGGTCTGCCAGCCCCACCTCAGATGCCCCTCCCAGATATCCCTCATCCCTGGCTGGTAGGATTTCTTAACTGACCCAAACACAAGTGCCACAGTCCTTGACACACATGTACCACAAGGCACAAGCTTTTTTTTGGCATATTTATATATATGTTTTACTTGTCTGCCACAACAGAATTGTTTCTAGGATTCAGTATTTTCCACCTTTTCAAGTGCCATTCTGACACCTCAACTTTTTTTTATTTGAAAAGTTTCATTGTAATAAATCAGAATGGAATTAAGTAGTACCCTGACTGCAGGTATTTGGAATAGTCTGTATGTGTTCATTGTGAAGATAAGTTAAAAATGAAACACTTTCTTTCAAAACACACAATACATTAATTGTGGAATATGGTTTTGTGGAATATTGTGGAATCTTATTGTCTCGGGGTCACTGGGGGCTCCATTCAATAATCAAATAAAAAATAAATAAATTAACCCTGGAATGCATAGTGGTCATTACAGTGGACAGCTATTTTAAAACGGCATACTCCACTTAAGTGGACACTGGTGCATCATACAATGAAACAATTAAAAATGTAAACTATAACAAACTGTTTAAGAGGGGCTGAGATAGACTAAAATAAATCAAGGGAGTAAGAACGCAGCGATGAGATAGGGGTGAATATCAGAAAACGATGAGAGTTTCATGCAAAGTTCTATGTTTATGCATTCTCTCAAAAATTTTCAAAATATGTTCACAGTATTTCATTAGTAAGAATTCTTAAAATAGTTGCTGTCTATTTGAGTGGACATCTGGAAAACTCCTTGAACAGACAAATTGACAAAAAAATCACCCTTTTTATTCCTTAAGAAAGTCAAAAGCAATTTGGGGGGCAAATCTTCACTGAAATGATCATAATTCATGTATGAAATAAAACGAATATATTGGTCTGACCAGTGAAATTGGAGGTTTGTGGCTTATTGATGTGAACTTTAGACTTACAGGCAGACTTTTACTTCAACTGATAAATGTCAAGCTCAATGAAACAGTGTTTCCATTTTTCACTTGAATGCTATACAATGGCCTGAGTGGGAGATTTAACAATACAGCAGGAAGTTTTTGTGATGTTACAAATGTTTTTTCAGTCGTCCTGTGGTGCAGGAAGACTGGGTATGGCTTAAATTTGTCTTCCTGTCTCACACAATTCATTACAATGGCAGTGTGTGTGCATGTGTGTGAGTGTCAGTAATACAGTGAGAGTGAGATGAGGAACATAATGAGTGTGAGGAATAACAGGGAGAGTGTGTTTTTGATTGCTCTTGCAAATGCCTTTGAAAGCAGTCTGTGATGACCTGCATTCCTTTGATGATAGCAATAAGCCATACCTTGTTTTGCAATGGCCTCACTCACACACATACACACACAAGGCCTTACACGGCAGTTTGTAATTAAAACCAGTCCACAGCCTCACCCTTTACCGCTCTCCTTAATTTTTCCCCTTAAAGTTCTGCATGAGAGTAGGAATGATGCATCATAGAGCGCTTTTACATCAGAACTGTTTTTTGTCCACTTCATGTGAGCAGTTGTGAAAGTTCATTTGAATTCTCCAAATAAGTGGAATTTCCACCAACTTACTTAGTTTGCTTACAGAGGGAAACACAAACAGACTGCCAGTGTACCAAAAATAAGAAATTAACACGGGGGAGAGTGATTTGACATATATTACTCAGCGATTGTGTATCAAATTAAAATGCTGGATCCTCACACTGAAAGGATGCTTCCGTTTCACTTTTTTTTTTTAAAGATTTTTTTTGGCTCTAGTGACCTTTAATGACAGTAGCTTGACAGGAAAGGGGGCAGAGATAGAGAGGGGGAGACCTGCGGGAAAGGACCATGGGCCGGATTCGAACCCAGGCCGCCCGCTTGCGAGCAAAGGCTCCAAATATGGGCCGCCCGCTCTAGCCATTAGGCTACGGCTGCGGCCCCCGTTTCACTTATTTTAATGTTAGAAATTAGTGAAGCTGATGTTCTGACCTATGTTTAAGCACAGGTGGACATAACTTGTCTAGAAATGTAGAAATCAATGGAAATAATATATTGCCATTTTAGAAAAAGACAGCGGACATTGGAGAACTTCACCCAATCTAAACAAGCTCACGTTCAAATTCCTTATTTTCCAATATGTTGCTTTCAGTTCAGCGTTTTCAGAAAAAATATGTGATTTGAGTTCAAAATGTACACATTCTTTTTAACTCATCCATTTATAACATTGTCCAATACTGTTGTCCAGTGACGAGGCTTAGCTGGTATAACACTGACCCAATGTTCTTCATTGTTGTGGCATTGTATTACAAATTATACCAATGGATCTTAGGGAATGCTTGCTATTAAAACCTTACTGGCACAGTACCAAGAACCAGAAGTTGTATTTGTTGGATAACACTTCGCAGTGGAAACAGCTTTACATAACTTGTGGAGCGCTAAAAAAGAGCAAAAAGCTTGATGGGAAGAAGTCTAGTGAAGGAAAACACAGTATAGATGACAAATAGAGTTTAGATGTACATAGAGAGAAAGATATAATGCAGTTATTTGAAATAATTAAAAAAAAAAATATTGACGATTAATTGTTTTCTGATCGAAATTGCGATTTCAGACAACGCAATCACATGATCGCCACAGTCGTGTTTTTTTTTGTTTTTTTGTTTTAAATATTTTACACATAGCCCTTCTCCCTACCATCCTGCAAACCAATCAGAAGTTTCATGCTGCTGGTGCATTGGTCAAGTTAACCAATTAACCTGCTCCACCTGCTCCTTCATTTTACTGAAATTGCTTTAGATGGACCAGAAGCATAGTAATAGTAATAGTAATGGAATAGCATGGAATGGACTGGAATTGAGCAAAGTAGCAGATTGGCCTCATTCATTTTATTTATGTTTTGCAAGAGACAGATCTGAAAAGCAGAGAACAGGAAAAAAGGGATTTCAAGATTTTTGAGGACCCTCACATCTCTCTGTGCCATTAATTTGATAAAGTTTCCGTACACCAAAAGTAGTTGTGCGAAAGGTGTGCAAAAAAAAAGGTGTGCGAAAGGTGTGAATCTAAACATATATACACAAATTAGTCAGTGTGAAAACCATATTAGAGAGACATATGGAAGGCAGGGGGATTACTTTATCACTAGCTAACTAGCTAACTTTCTTTAACTTGTGTAGGCAGTTCCTGTATGGACCTTTGTTTCAATGATGGCTTCTTTAAATTCAATATTTTGTCCTGCCAAGATTGATTTATCTCGAAATTATTCTTTCAAAGTACACACAAACCAGATAAAATACGTAATTACATTTTAGAGTACTTTATTATTTATTTTAGCTCATATGCCGGGGCATTTGCCTTTCAGTCTGTGCTCCAATGAAATCACTAGTTGCTTTAGCAGAATTTGGACGAATTCTGTTCCTTGTAGAAACACAAATGAGTTCCATCTGTGTTGATGTTTGAGACCCCATCCCCACCCCCCCCTCCAGTCCTGCCTTTCCTCCACTCCCTCCTCATCCCCCTTAAGAAACCTCCTCCCCAACTCTACTAGTTAGTTGCGTAACCCACACTCAGAGGGATATTGGATTATGCACAACGATAACTAAAAGCATCCATTCTCTCTACCATACATTTTACGATTTTAAATTGACACAATTGTACATGTGATGGACATATTGTACACAAAAACTGGGTGATGTTATCACAAGCAGCCTTGGTCTCATATGGAATTAATTCCCTTCCCTTTTCTAATTTTGAAACAGACAACCCCTTCCAACCCTGAAGCACTTTGAAGAAAATTATTTCCCTCAGCTCCAACTTGGCAACCATTGTAGTTACTTCTATGCACAAAATGTATATTTTAACTCTTACATCAACTTTTTATATGCTTTGAGAAGATGGCATGTTAAAATAATTTAGCATTTCTCACATGCCTGCAAGACAAGCTCTGTATTGTTGGATGTAGAGCAGCAGCTTTGTCTTTGGAATTAATCTAGGCTTGATATGTTTTGCCACTTAGTCTGCCACTGTTAGTCACCCTGATGTATCACGCCTTCAAGTGCAAACACACATGTACATTTAAACCCAGTCTGCCTGGGTGTCTGTTGAAATAATTTAGTTTTAGGAGTTTGCTGCACAGCAAACTTTGGGCTCCGTTTCATTCACCCCTTTTTCAAGTATGACAATTCTTTAGTGTAGTTTCCCTATTTTGTAAACCATTGTCAGCCACAGCAAAGCCTAGAAAACATTAACACTATTCTGTTACTAACTTAAGACAGGAATTTAGAGGTAATTATGTCCTCTCTACAATAGGCAGTAGGGTATCACTAATTCAAATATGGCTACTCTTGTCTTTAGGCTCATAGTTTCCTTCCTTCAGCCTGTTCACACTCAGTGGAAAAAGTCCCTGATAAAAAAAAACTGGAGCACAGCTGAAAAGGCAATTTCACAAGTTTTTTCCCCACTCTTAGAGCTTTTTACGACTTACTTTTTTGATCCAGGTATTTTTATTTATTTTCAACAGTTAATCAAACAAACATGCTCAACAGTGTTCCCATCAATTTCCTTTATTCCAGATCTCATATGAAAAAACAAAAAGAGAAGTAATGCTACATCTTCAGGGTATACTCAAAATGATAGATTAAATAACAGTGGGTCACTAGGCTTTATATAGCCAACATGACACAATCATGAGTCAATATCACTGACTGCCATGTTCTCAACATAACTAATGAACGGTTGCCATGAAGCACAGAATTTTCCGGCACAAACTCTGGTAGCCATTTCTAGATGTGATTCATTACGTCTGTAATCTAGTGGCCATATGTTGGAGAACAAGGGGTCCTTCCACTTGATGAGAATAAGTAATCTGGCCAGCAAAGAGGAGTAGGCAATCATGTTTCACTCTAGTTTATTCAGAGATAATTCAAGAGGAGCCACACCAAGCAATGAAGTCAAAAGTTTTAGATGGATTGTTGGTCCTGTTATTTTGGGGAAAGCCTCAAAGATTGAACTGCATAAACCATGTAGTTTTGGACAC